TGGACTCTACCCACACACTCACTGGACTCTACCACCACTCACTGACTCTACCCACACACTCCTGGACTCTACCCACACACTCCCTGGACTCTACCCCCACCAACACTCACTGGACTCTACCCACACACCTCACTGAGACTCTACCCACACACTCACTGGACTCTACCCAACACACTGGACTCTACCCACACACTCACTGGACTCTACCCACAACACTCATGGACTCTACCCACACACTCACTGGACTCTACCCACACACTCACTGGACTCTACCCACACACTCAACTGGACTCTACCCACACACTCCCTGGACTCTACCCACACACTGGACTCTACCCACACACTCACTGGACTCTACCCACACACTCACTGGACTCTACCCACACACTCACTGGACTCTACCCACACACTCACTGGACTCTACCCAGACACTCACTGGACTCTACCCACACACTCACTGGACTCGACCCACACACTCACTGGACTCTACCCACACACTCACTGGACTCTACCCACACACTCACTGGACTCTACCCACACACTCACTGGACTCTACCCACACACTCACTGGACTCTACTACCACACATCACTGGAGCTCTACCCACACACAACTCCCTGGGACTCTACCCACACACTCACTGGACTCTACCCACACACTCACTGGACTCTACCCACACACTCACTGGACTCTACCCACACACTCACTGGACTCTACCCACACACTCACTGGACTCTACCCACACACTCACTGGACTCTACCCACACACTCACTGGACTCTACCACACACTCACTGGACTCTACCCACACACTCACTGGACTCTACCCACACACTCACTGGACTCTAACCCACACACTCACTGGACTCTACCCACACTCACTGGACTCTACCCACACACTCACTGGACTCTACCCACACACTCACTGGACTCTACCCACACACTCACTGGACTCTACCCACACACTCACTGGACTCTACCCACACACTCACTGGACTCTACCCACACACTCACTGGACTCTACCACACACTCACTGGACTCTACCCCACACACTGGACTCTACCCACACACTCACTGGACTCTACCCCCACACACACACACACACACACACTACGTTACTGTACGCTCACACACAAAACACACACACGCATATTGACGCCACACACACATACTTTCACTCTTCACATACGCTGCTGCTACTCTGGTGATTATCCAGTTGTGGAAAAAGTACCCAATTGTCATACTTGAGTAAAAGTAAAGATACCTTAATAGAAAATTACTCAAGTAAAGGTGAAAGTACTATAAAGTATTTTTCCTTAAGTACTTTACACCACTGTGATGATCTATCCTGGTTGCCTAGTGACTATTACCCCTACCTACCCCAGCACATTGACTCGGTACCGGCTACTCCTTGTATATAGCCTCATTATTATCTATTGGGTTACAATTTTATTTGACAATCTTCTTACTTTTTAACTCTGCACTGTTGGGAAAGGGCTCATAGCATTTCCCTTAAAATCTACACCTTTTGTTTATGTGACCAGTACAATTTGATTTGTTGTGGAAATTGACCCACTATGCTGTTTACTTTCTGCATCTAAGTCATATCGCTGAGTCTACGTTTAACACGGAGACTTCCACGGCCACCAGCCAGTCAGTCAGTGTGTTTCAGCCCAGCCAGGATAGATCTCCTGGGGATTATGGGGCTTTACCCCTGAAAGGAGGAGGAGGGTGGAGAGAAAGAGGAGGGTGACGGGAGCTGTTTTCAGAGCCAGCCCCCTTTCAGTAATCCGGCACCTTGGGTCTTCTGATTGGCTCTCGGGGTCTGTATGCTTATGGGGGGTTTAAACGCTGGACTCTAATGTTGGGAGGCAGACATGCATTTCTCCCATTACTATGGCAACAGGTTGCTCTGTGTGGGTGCACCAGGCCACTGTGGTTCCTCAAGCCATATGAATAGAACAGGAATCCGCATTCAAGTCAATGATGGCATAATGGGCAGCCATTTTGAGTGTACCCATGCCAGGAAGTAAAAGCAGGAAGTGTACCCTTCAATCTGTGCTGTGATTTGTTGAGTCAACTCAACTGATATATAAAAGAAAATACATTCCATTGCATGAGCCACATCAGTTAGCATCATTTGAATGAACATTCTACATCAATGGTTCCAAAACTGTGGGGCGTCCCCCCCAAAAAACTAAAAAATGTATATATATATTTTTTGAAGTAACTCAGCCCGGATTTAAACTTACTGTTGAAAGTTGTACTAGTAGAATGCACAAGGTGCCATTTCTATATTGGGTCGTGGATCATCAGTTCCTCTTGTCATGTCAGTCATTACAGACCTTAGAGAGATATTTATAACTGGTCAGAAATGTCCAGATCAACTAGCCCATAGAAATAGAAGTTGTTCCCCAATGCTGGAAGGGCCCCCCCCCCCCCCCCGAGTGAAAGAGTTTGGGAACCCCTGTTCTACATTACCATGGCAATCCAGCATCAGTTGATTGAACATTCCACATTACCATGGCAATCCAGCATCAGTTGATTGAACATTCCACATTACCGTGGAAATTATTGCATCAGAATACCAGGCAGCCATTGGAAGTGTACCCATGAGTTTAATGTCTGTGCTATCTTGGATCCTTTGGACGTCCTTACCCCATTGAAGTTGAAATATAAAAAGGGTTAGAGCTTCCAAGCCAGTGGGTTAGGGTTGCCAGGGTTAGGGTTAGGGTTGCCAGGGTTAGAGCTTCCAAGCCAGTGCTATTCATTATATTTATATGCCTCAAGCACTCTCTGGGGAACTAGGGAGGCAGGGAGCACAGTAACTATGGTAACTAGGGAACACAATCAGCATTAGGACCTCCCCCAGGAGTGACAGCAGCACATGACTTCAGGTCTCAGATACTAGCCTACAATAAGATGGCACCGGCAGAGAAGGGCGGCATCTTACGAGTTCCAACCCATCTTTGTTATTTAGTGACCTTTATCATGTTTATCTTGACTTTATTTGTACAGAAAGTTCATACTATTATCATGTGACCACCAAGCACTTCTGGACATCAGATCGACAGTTACTAACCTCGATTTAGACTTCAAATAAGACTTCAACTCCGACTCAGCTGTTCCACTGATCATACCTTCCCCTATGCCTTTGTTCCATGGGCCAAAACGCCGCAGGCGTAGACACGGGGGACGAGGTGGAGTCCTGGTGAAATTGAGGCGAAGAGAAAACCGAACGGCGCTCCCCTCCATTCTACTGGCAAATGTCCAGTCACTCGAGAATAAGATGGATGAGCTTCATTCGAGATTCTCCTATCAGAGAGACTTGAAAAGCTGCAATATTATACGTCTTACTGAAACGTGGCTGGGTGGTGATGGTATGCACATAGTACTTGGTGGATTCTCCAGAGGCTTCGGAGAATAACAACTGGTGTGCTGCTTCAAGTGTGAAGGAAATCTCAAGCTTTTGTTCACCTTATATAGAATACCTCATGGTAAGCTGCAGACCCTGTTATCTACCAAGAGAGTTCTCGTCTGTAATCATCACGGCTGTCTACATCCCTCCCCAAGCCAACACCACTCTGGCACTCAACAAACCGTATGGGATCATAAACAAACAAGAGGCAGTGTTTCTGGCAGGCGGAGACTAACTCGGGGAGACTTTAAAACCGTCTACTCACTTCTACCACTAGGGGCGCTAAAACTATTATTCTACCCACAGAAACGCATAAAAGGCCCTCCCTCATCCTCCCTTCGGCAAATCTGACAATGACTCCATTCTCCTCCTTCCTGTTTATAAACAAAAGCTCAAACAGGAAGTACCAATGATGCGCTCAACACGGAAGTGGTTGGATGAAGCAGACGCGAGGCTATAGGACTGTTTTGCTGGTAAAGACTGGGATATGTTCCGGGATTCAACTGATAGCATTGTGTAGTTTACCACATCAGTCACGGGCTTCATAGACAACGTCATCCCCCACAGTGACGAACTTATCCAAACCAAAAACCATGGATTACAGGCAATATCCACGCTGGGCTAAAGGCTAGAGTTACCGCTTACAGGGAACGGGACAATATAGGAGGTGAAGGTGGAATCCTATTTCACTGGCTCCGACACTCGTCGTTTGTGGTTCGCAGCCGATAACGGACTACAAAAAGAAACCCAGCCATGACTTGTTCCCAAGATCTCCAAGGTAACCTGCCTAAATGACAATCGCCCCGTAGCACTCACATCTAGAATTATGAAGTGCTCTGAAAGGCTGGTCATGACACACATCAACACCATCAGCCCAGACAGCCTGGACCCAATACATTCACATACCGTCCCAACAGATCCACAGATTACGCAATCTCAATCCCACTTCACACTGCCCTTTCCCACCTGGACTAGAGGGGATATAACTATGTGAGAATGCTGTTCATAGACTACAGCTCAGCGTTCAACACCAGAGTCCCTTAACACCTCCCTCTCCAACTGGATCCTGGACTTCCTGACGGGCCGACCCCAGGTGGTGAGGGTAGGCAACAACACCTACGCCACACTGATCCTCAACACGGGGGCCCCAAAGGCATGTGTTAGTCCCCTCCTGTACTCCCTGTTCACCCATGACTCCAATTCCATCATCAAGTTTGCTGACAACCCGACGGTAGTAGGCCTGATAACCTACAGCGATGAGTCAGCCTATAGGGAGGAGGTCAGAGACCTGGCCGTGTGGTGACAGGACAACAACCTCTCCCTCAATGTGAGCAAGACAAAGGAGCTGATCGTAGACTATAGGAAAAAGAGGGGAGAGCACGCCCCTATCCACATCGACGGGGCTGTAGTGGAGCAGGTTGAAAGGTTCAAGTTCCTTGGTGTCCACATCACCAACAAACTATCATGGTCCAAACACACCAAGACAATCGTGAAGAGTGGCTCGATTAGTGTATCGAAATTCTATATTTTGGTAGGAAAGATCAACTAGAAGAATGCCATCTCTTTTATTCTGCGGTCCGAAAATGGCCGCTTGTGGAATAGTGATCAGCATATGGGGAGTCATCATGTTGGTGATCTTCTTCAGTGCAAAGTCTGCTGTGCTGATTGAGGATGTGCCCTTCACTGAGGAGGACATCCGCAATGATAAGAACCCACCGGGAACCATCTATGGACTCTACAACCAGGTGGGCATCAACTGCTTCATTGCAGCAGCCATCTATGTTGCAGTGGGGGCGGTGTCACTCTGCCAGGTCAGACTCAACAAGCGGCAGGAGTACATGGTGACATAAATTCCCCTGCAGCATCAGAAGATTATACACACACACTCTATTTCAAGTTCTCAAGGGAAGCAACCTTATAAAAAGCTATTTATAGAGTAAAACATTCAACATAAGTCCTCTCTGTTATGCTATTGATTGAAATGTTATCATTCTTTGTATTTGCATACAACTATTTATTGAATTGACCAAAACTGTAACCCAGCAATGCTAACTGACAATATTGATAATGATAAATAAAAATGTAAATCTTGTTCCCCTCAAGGACCAAACATTACATTCATGCTAGATAACGCACCACAAATTCCTAGATGCAACAGACCACTACAGTTACAGAAATCTGTAATTATCTCCTCTTTCAGTCTGAATTCACAGCAAATTGATAGATGGTCAGTGTCTGTCAGGCAAATCAAGAGATATGTAAAAAATGGTTAAATACATTTTGTGTTTGTGCACAGTTTATTGTGTTTATTTATGTGCTGTTGTGAATTGTACACTGTAAAAATATAGTTGCTGGATTCAGTCCATATCGCAGAAGATCTGTGTTAAAATGTAAAGATAATTTCCGATTGAGCCGACATATGCAGCGTCAGAGATACTTTTGAGGAGATGGGAAACTCCATTTGAGTCGTAACCATTGTGTAAAAGTAGCATAAATGTTGTGAACAAGAAGTACAACATTACACATATTTTCAGAGATGTGAGATAATTAACTTGTTCTCTGTACAGGGTCCCCTGTAGCTCAGTTGGTAGAGCATGGCGCTTGCAACGCCAGGGTTGTGGGTTCGTTTCCCACGGGGGGCCAGTATGGAAAAATGTATGCACTCACTACCTGTAAGTCGCTCTGGATAAGAGCGTCTGCTAAATGACTAAAATGTAAATGTAAAAAAGAGGGCACGACAAAGCCTATTCCCTCTCAGGAGACTGAAAAGATGAGTGGATAGTGGAGCGGGTTGAGAACTCCACGTCAATAAGAACCTTAACAAGGTCCACACCTCAGGAGGCTGAAAAGATTTGGCCCTCGGATCCTCAAAAACATTCTACAGTTGCACCATCGACAGGCTGCATCACTGCTTGGTATGGCAAATGCACCGCCCTTGACCGCAAAGCGCTACAGAGGATGGTGTGGATAGCCCAGTACATCACTTGGGACGAGCTCGCTGCTACCCAGGACCTCTATACCAGGCAGTGTCAGAGGAAGGCCCTAAAAATTGCCAAAGACTCAAGCCACCCAAGCCACAGACTGTTCCCTTTGCTACCGTCCAGCAAACAGTAACGGATAATCGTCTCTCAGACCAACAGGCTCAGAGACAGCTTCTACCCCCAAGCCATAAGACTGCTAAATAGCCAGACTGCTCAACCATACACGCGGAGACCGGCTCAATCGGTACCTCCAGTGATGTTATCTCTTTCATAGTTACCCAATGCTTAGGTGTACCTCCACTGTACTCATATCCTTGTCTGTACATAATGCCCTGAATCTATTCTACAACGCCCAGAAATCTGCCCCTTTTCTCTGTACCCAACGCACTAGAAGACCAGTTCTTAAAGCCTTTAGCCGTATCCTTATTCTATTCCTCGTCTGTTCCTCTGGTGATGTAGAGGTTAACCCAGGCCCTGTAGCCCCCAGTTTCACTCCTACTCCCCAGGCGTTATCATTTGTTGACTTCTGTAACCGTAAAAGTATTGGTTTCTTGCACGTTAACATCAGAAGCCTTCTCCCTAAGTTTGAGTTATTCACTGCGTTAGCACACTCCGCCAACCCTGATGTTCTAGCAGTGTCTGAATCCTGGCTTAGGAAGGCCACCAAAAATTCTGAAATTTCCATCCCCAACTATAACATTTTCCGTCTAGATAGAACTGCCAAAGGGGGCGGAGTTGCAATCTACTGTAGAGAGAGCCTGCAGAGCTCTATCATACTATCCAGGTCTGTGCCCAAACAGTTTGAGCTTCTACTTCGAAAAATCCACCTTTCCAGAAATAAGTCTCTCACTGTTGCCGCTTGCTACAGACCCCCCTCAGCCCCCAGCTGTGCCCTGGACACCATATGTGAATTGATTGCCCCCCATCTATCCTCAGAGTTCGTACTGCTTGGTGACCTAAACTGGGATATGCTTAACACCCCGGCCGTCCTACAATCCAAACTAGATGCCCTCAATCTCACACAAATTATCAAGGAACCTACCAGGTACAACCCTAAATCCGTAAACATGGGCACCCTCATTTCGAAAGTATTTCGAAAGGCAGAATAAGAGCACCTTCTCCCAGCTACCCACTGCACTGAGGCTAGGAAACACTGTCACCACCGATAAATCTACGATAATCGAGAATTTCAATAAGCATTTTGCTACGGCTGGCCATGCTTTTCACCTGGCTACCCCTACCCCAGCCACCAGCTCTGCACCAACCAAAAGACAGTACTGTGCAGCCGTCTTCATCGACCTGGCCAAGGCTTTTGACTCTGTCAATCACCGCATTCTTATCGGCAGACTAAATAGCCTTGGTTTCTCAAATGACTGCCTCGCCTGGTTCACCAACTACTTCTCAGATAGAGTTCAGTGTGTCAAATCAGAGGGCCTGTTGTCTGGACCTATGGCAGTCTCTATGGGGGTGCCACAGGGTTCAATTCTTGGGCCGACACTTTTCTCAGTGTATATCAATGATGTCGCTCTTGCTGCTGGTGACTCTCAGATCCACCTCTACGTAGACGACATCATTTTGTATACATCTGGCCCTTCATTGGACACTGTGTTAACAAACCTCCATACGAGCTTCAATGCCATACAACACTCTTTCCGTAGCCTCCAACTGCTCTTAAAAACGCTAGTAAAACTAAATGCATGCTTTTCAATAGAACGCTGCTTGCACCCGCCCGCCCGACTAGAATCACTACTCTCGGCGGGTCTGACTTAGAATATGTGGACAACTACAAATACCTAGGTGTCTGGTTAGACCGTAAACTCTCCTTCCAGACTCACATTAAGAATCTCCAATCCAAAGTTAAATCTAGAATTGGCTTCCTATTTTGCAACAAAGCCTCCTTCACTCATGCTGCCAAACATGCCCTCGTAAAACTGACTATCCTACCGATCCTTGACTTCGGCGATGTCATTTACAAAATAGCTTCCAACACTCTACTCAGCAAATTGGATGTAGTCTATCACAGTGCCATCCGTTTTGTCTCCAAAGCCCCATATACTACCCACCATTGTGACCTGTACGCTGTCGTTGGCTGGCCCTCACTACATATTCGTCGCCAAATCCACCGGCTCCAGGTCATCTATAAATCACTTATAGGCAAATCCCCAACTTATCTTAGATCATTGGTCACCATAGCAACACCCACCCGTAGTATGCGTTCCAGCAGGTATCTCTCACTGGTCATCCCCAAAGCCAACACCTCCTTTGGCCGCCATTCCTTCCAGTTCTCTGCTGCCAATGACTGGAACGAACTGCAAAAATCTCTGAAGCTGGAGACACTTATCTCCCTCACTAACTTTAAGCATCAGTTGTCAGAGCAGCTTACCGATCACTGCACCTGTACACAGCCCATCTGAAATTAGCCCACCCAACTACCTCATCCCCATATTGTTATTTACGATGTTATTTATTTTGCTCATTTGCACCCCAGTATCTCTATTTGCACATCATCTTCTGCACATCTATCACTCCAGTGTTAATACTAAATTGTAATTATTTTGCACTATGGCCTATTTATTGCCTTACCTCCATAACTTACTACATTTTTACCCCATATGTAACTCTGTGTTGTTGTTTTTATCGCACTGCTTTGCTTTATCGTGGCCAGGTCGCAGTTGAAAATGAGAAGTTGTTCTCAACTGGCTTCTTACCTGGTTAAATAAAGGTGAAATAAAAATAAAATAAAACATACGCTGTGGCGTACAGCAGGTCAGCCACCAGGGGGAGACTCGTCGAGGCCTGGTAACAGATGGAGTATACATCACGAGGCCGTGGCTCCATCTGCTGGACGTGCCAGGTCTCGCCGGGCTCCCCGGACAGGACTAACTGGGGCTGATTGGGAGCTGGGGAGTAATTAAGGGCGGATTGCTCACCAGCTGTGCAAGGCCCATAAAGCTGCCAGAAGGGCAGCACACGAGGGAGGTCTGGGGGAAGTAAGGTGTAGTTGGAGACGGTATCCTGGAGAGGATCTCGATGGGGAGGACTGGGGGAAGTAGTTGGAGACGGTATCCTGGAGAGGATCTCGTGGGAGAGGACTGGGGGAAATAAGGTAACTTCTGTGTAGTTGGAGACGGTATCCTGGAGAGGATCTCATGGGGGAGACCTAACCGTTTCTTTTGATTATTTTATTAATAAACAACCTTGAAACCGAGCTAATCATTCTGTCTGATCTGTGTAACCGTGGTGGAGAATACGGGCACGTTGATAACAAGGTCAGATCAGGGTTGAGGTTTACACAGCATCAGCATGGAGGAGCTGAGCTCAGTTCGTCCAGTTGGTCCAGGCCCAACAGGCCCCAACAGGCCCCAACAGGTCCAACAGGCCCCAACAGGTCCAACAGGCCCCAACAGGTCCAACAGGCCCCAACAGGTCCAACAGGCCCCAACAGGTCCAACAGGTCCAACAGGCCCCAACAGGCCCAACAAGCCCCAACAGGCCCCAACAGGTCCAACAGGCCCCAACAGGCCCAACAGGTCCAACAGGCCCCAACAGGTCCAACAGGTCCAACAGGCCCCAACAGGCCCCAACAGGTCCAACAGGCCCCAACAGGCCCCAACAGGTCCAACAGGCCCCAACAGGTCCAACAGGCCCAACAGGTCCAACAGGCCCCAACAGGTCCAACAGGCCCAACAGGTCCAACAGGCCCCAACAGGCCCCAACAGGTCCAACAGGCCCCAACAGGCCCAACAGGTCCAACAGGCCCCAACAGGTCCAACAGGTCCAACAGGCCCCAACAGGCCCCAACAGGTCCAACAGGCCCCAACAGGCCCAACAGGTCCAACAGGCCCCAACAGGTCCAACAGGTCCAACAGGCCCCAACAGGTCCAACAGGCCCCAACAGGCCCCAACAGGTCCAACAGGCGGTTCAGGAACGAACGCTGGAGGAACAGCGACTACAAAACATCAGGAAGCTACAAGGAGGAGCGTCTGCCTCGTGGAGGAAGTCAGGAAGCTGCAAGGAGGAGCGTCCGCCTCGTGGAGGAAGTCAGGAAGCTGCAAGGAGGAGCGTCCGCCTCGGAGGAAGTCAGGAAGCTGCAAGGAGGAGCGTCCGCCTCGTGGAAAGCTGCAAGGAGGAGCGTCCGCCTCGTGGAGGAAGTCAGGAAGCTGCAAGGAGGAGCGTCCGCCTCGTGGAGGAAGTCAGGAAGCTGCAAGGAGGAGCGTCCGCCTCGTGGAGGAAGTCAGGAAGCTGCAAGGAGGAGCGTCCGCCTCGTGGAGGAAGTCAGGAAGCTACAAGGAGGAGCGTCCGCCTCGTGGAGGAAGTCAGGAAGCTGCAAGGAGGAGCGTCCGCCTCGTGGAGGAAGTCAGGAAGCTGCAAGGAGGAGCGTCCGCCTCGTGGAGGAAGTCAGGAAGCTGCAAGGAGGAGCGTCCGCCTCGTGGAGGAGGTCAGGAAGCTGCAAGGAGGAGCGTCCGCCTCGTGGAGGAAGTCAGGAAGCTGCAAGGAGGAGCGTCCGCCTCGTGGAGGAAGTCAGGAAGCTGCAAGGAGGAGCGTCCGCCTCGTGGAGGAAGTCAGGAAGCTGCAAGGAGGAGAGTCCGCCTCGTGGAGGAAGTCAGGAAGCTGCAGGAGGAGCGTCCGCCTCGTGGAGGGAAGTCAGGAAGCTGCAAGGAGGAGCGTCCGCCTCGTGGAGGAAGTCAGGAAGCTGCAAGGAGGAGCGTCCGCCTCGTGGAGGAAGTCAGGAAGCTGCAAGGAGGAGCGTCTCCTGAAATCCCATCCCAACCAGTTTTATGCCAATACTGCTCTACTCTGGTTCTGTTCCCAGTCAAACAACCAATAATACTGCTCTACTCTGGTTCTGTTCCCAGTCAAACAACCAATAATACTGCTCTACTCTGGCTCTGTTCCTGTGTTTGGTCCGGACTTCCTTCTCACCTGCAGCGAACCGCAATTGAATCAGACCGAAACCACCCTTTTTTAGCAAACCACGGTGCGTTGTTTAGTGTGCTCCTGAGTGCGGATAGTGTTCACACCAGTCCAAACGGACTGAACTAAGGGAAGAAATGCAACAGAGTTCTGAAAAACCGCTCCAAACCAATTCAGTGTGAAAGACCCCTAAGAGAAGGGCAAGTGCAGTCTGGGTAAAACCTCTTCAGGCCATCTGGAGAATATATATACTGACCTATCTTTAACAACAGAAACTGTTAGGAGAAGAAAACGAACTTATCTTACACTGGCTTGACCTACTGGGCTTTGATTAAAACTCTCCCTGGCACCCAAACAAGAGGTCTGGTGACAGGCTAGAAGATTAGTGTTGACCTACAGTTGATGGGAGGGCTTTAATACAAAACAACCTTTACTGAGTCCTCAAGCCTGCATTACAGACAGGGGGAAATCAAAGGGAAGAATGCACACCAGACAGCATGTGTTCAACCTATGAAACAAGCAATAGGCTACCTACCTAAGGCCATATGACATGAGGGGGGTAAAGGGCTGGGGTTGGGTCTGGGGGGCTGAGGGGGGCAAAGGGCTGGGGTTGGGTCTGGGGGGCTGGGGGGGGTAAGGACTGGGGTTGGGTTCTGGGGGGGCTGAGGGGGGTAAAGGGCTGGGGTTGGGTCTGGGGGCTGGGGGGGTAAAGGGCTGGGGTTGGGTCTGGGGGGCTGAGGGGGGTAAAGGGCTGGGGTTGGGTCTGGGGGCTGAGGGGGGTAAAGGGCTGGGGTTGGGTCTGGGGGGGGTAAAGGGCTGGGGTTGGGTCTGGGGGGCTGGGGGGGTAAAGGGCTGGGGTTGGGCTGGGGGGGGTAAAGGGCTGGGGTTGGGTCTGGGGGGGCTGAGGGGGTAAAGGGCTGGGGTTGGGTCTGGGGGCTGGGGGGGGTAAAGGGCTGGGGTTGGGTCTGGGGGGCTGGGGGGGGTAAAGGGCTGGGGTTGGGTCTGGGGGGCTGGGGGGGGGGGCAAAGGGCTGGGGTTGGGTCTGGGGGCGTGAGGGGGGTAAAGGGCTGGGGTTGGGTCTGGGGGCTGGGGGGGGTAAAGGGCTGGGGTTGGGTCTGGGGGCTGGGGGGGGGGTAAAGGGCTGGGGTTGGGTTCTGGGGGGGCTGGGGGGGGGTAAAGGCTGGGGTTGGGTCTGGGGGGGGCTGGTCGGGGGGGGGTAAAGGGCTGGGGTTGGGTCTGGGGGGCTGGGAGAGGTGAAGCGTGATGGCCACAACAACATTCCTGGGCTGAGTAACATACCAACCAGCCAGCAAGTCACTGAGCACCCGCCGAACCAAAGCCCCTCACACCTGGGCCTCCTTTGTCCGCGGCATCAGCCTGACAGTGTGCAGGGACCTGACTCTGCTAAACACAGTAATATATAGTGTGGTAGCTTGGGCTGCCTACTCCCTAAATAGTGCACTACTTATGACCGGCCATTTGGGACACAGGCCAAACTACAACAGACAGCCAGGTAACTCCTCCCCTAGTCTCTCCCCTGTGGACTGGACCAACAGACAGCCAGGTAACTCCTCCCCTAGTCTCTCCCCTGTGGACTGGACCAACAGACAGCCAGGTAACTCCTCCCCTAGTCTCTCCCTGTGGACTGGACCAACAGACAGCCAGGTAACTCCTCCCCTAGTCGCTCCCCTGTGGGCTGGACCAACAGACAGCCAGGTAACTCCTCCCCTAGTCTCTCCCCTGTGGACTGGACCAACAGACAGCCAGGTAACTCCTCCCCTAGTCTCTCCCCTGTGGGCTGGACCAACAGACAGCCAGGTAACTCCTCCCCTAGTCTCTCCCTGTGGACTGGACCAACAGACAGCCAGGTAACTCCTCCCCTAGTCTCTCCCCTGTGGGCTGGACCAACAGACAGCCAGGTAACTCCTCCCCTAGTCTCTCCCTGTGGACTGGACCAGTCAGGAGCTTTACCAGGTCTAATTGGATTCAGCACCAGGCATCATGTAACTCACTGCAATAAAGCCACACAACTCCATGATTCTATTGGACACTTGGTTTGATGTTGCAAGTAAATAAAGCAATATAATATATATTTAAAAAAAAATATGTAGCAACTTACATCAAGTGACATATGACTTCTCCTTGTATCATAGTTAAAACAACTCTTATCCACTAATCTACAGATGATGGCTAGTGGCCAACTGAACAGATGTCTGTCATATAACAGAGTCTGAACGGAGTAGAGAAACCTGATGAGGTATCATGGGAAATTATTTATTCATTCTCCGGTTGGCTGGCTGGTTGTATGGCGCCCTGCCACTTCTCTGCTCCTCAAGAGCCACAGGAGGATGACGTGACCACCCAGCCGTGAGCCACAGGAGGATGACGTGACCACCCAGCCGTGAGCCACAGGAGGATGACGTGACCACCCAGCCCTGAGCCACAGGAGGATGACGTGACCAGCCAGCCATGAGCCACAGGAGGATGACGTGACCACCCAGCCATGAGACACAGGAGGATGACGTGACCACCCAGCCGTGAGCCACAGGAGGATGACGTGACCACCCAGCCGTGAGCCACAGGAGGATGACGTGACCACCCAGCCATGAGACACAGGAGGATGACGTGACCACCCAGCCATGAGCCACAGGAGGATGACGTGACCACCCAGCCGTGAGCCACAGGAGGATGACGTGACCACCCAGCCATGAGACACAGGAGGATGACGTGACCACCCAGCCATGAGCCACAGGAGGATGACGTGACCACCCAGCCGTGAGCCACAGGAGGATGACGTGACCACCCAGCCGTGAGCCACAGGAGGATGACGTGACCAGCCAGCCGTGAGCCACAGAAAGATGATCGGCAGGTATAACGGGACCCATGTCGTCCAAAAGTTCTGTCCATAGAACATTCTTCCAAGAGTCTTGAAGATCATCCAGGTGCTTTTAGGTAAACTCCCAAGGATGAACCAGACTTAAGGAGGTCTACAATTTTTTTTCTGAGGTCTTGGCTGATTTCTTTTGATTTTCCCATGATGTCAAGCAAAGAGGCACTGAGTTTGAAGGTAGGCCTTGAAATACATCCACAGGTACACCTCCAATTGACTCAAATTATGTTAATTAGCCTATCAGAAGCTTCTAAAGCCATGACATCATTTTCTGGAATTTTCCAAGCTGTTTAAAGGCACAGTCAACTTAGTTTATGTAAACTTCTGACCCACTGGAATTGTGATACAGTGAATTATAAGTGAAATAATCTGTCTGTAAACAATTGTTGGAAAAATGACTTGTGTCAGACTTGGGTCTGATGGCCTTGAGATAGCAGCTGTTTTTCATTCTCTCGGTCCCAGCTTTGATGCACCTGTACTGACCTCGCCTTCTGGATGATTGCAGGGTGAACAGGTGTATTTGACAGATGTACCAAAAGTAACAAAAACCAGTCAGGATGCTCTCAATGGTGCAGCTGTAGAACTTCTTGAGGATCTGGGGACCCATGCCAAATCCTTTCAGCCTCCTGAGGGGGGAATAGGAGGATCCGAGGGCCAAATCCTTTCAGCCTCCTGAAGGGGGAATAGGAGGATCCGAGGGCGAATCCTTCAGCAAATCCTTTCAGCCTCCTGAAGGGGGAATAGGAGGATCCGAGGGCCAAATCCTTTCAGCCTCCTGAAGGGGGAATAGGAGGATCCGAGGGCCAAATCCTTTCAGCCTCCTGAAGGGGGAATAGGAGGATCCGAGGGCCAAATCCTTTCAGCCTCCTGAAGGGGGAATAGGAGGATCCGAGGGCCAAATCCTTTCAGCCTCCTGAAGGGGAATAGGAGGATCCGAGGGCCAAATCCTTTCAGCCTCCTGAAGGGGGAATAGGAGGATCCGAGGGCCAAATCCTTTCAGCCTCCTGAAGGGGGAATAGGAGGATCCGAGGGCCAAATCCTTTCAGCCTCCTGAAGGGGGAATAGGAGGATCCGAGGGCCAAATCCTTTCAGTCTCCTGAAGGGGGATAAGCGTTGTCGTGCCCTCTTCACGACTGTCTTGGTGTGTTTGGACCATGATAGGTCCTTAGTGATGTGGACACCAAGGAACTTGAACCGTCGATGTGAATGGCCCTCCTTTTCCTGTAGTCCACAATCAGCTCCTTTGTCTTGCTCACATTGAGGGAGAGGTTGTTGTCCTGGCACCACACGGCCAGGTCTCTGACCTCCTCCCTATAGGCTGACTCATCGCTGTAGGTTATCAGGCCTACTACCGTCGGGTTGTCAGCAAACTTGATGATGGAATTGGAGTCATGGGTGAACAGGGAGTACAGGAGGGGACTAACACATGCCTTTGGGGCCCCCGTGTTGAGGATCAGTGTGGCGGAGGTGTTGTTGCCTACCCTCACCACCTGGGGGCGGCCCGTCAGGAAGTCCAGGATCCAGTTGCAGAGGGAGGTGTTTAGTCCCAGGGTCCTTAGCTTAGTGATGAGCTTTGAGGACACTATGGTGTTGAACGCTGAGCTGTAGTCAATAAACAGCATTCTCACGTCTTACCTTTTTGTAGTTAATAAATCCAATGTGACACGTGATAACTATAGTATCCTTAACTAGCATTGAAAAAGTAAATCCATTCTTTTCTAATTAATCATCTCTCCCTAATCTCTGAGTTACGTTTGTAACGTGGTCAGCAGGCTCCAGTTAGCTTCAGAGGGGAGGGGCAGGAAGTCTACACACACTGGTAAAGACTTCCAGCTGGAAGGCAGACGCTGGAATCCGTGACAGGGTGAGGGAAGGCAGACGCTGGAATACGTGACAGGGTGAGGGAAGGCAGACGCTGGAATCCGTGACAGGGTGATGGAAGGCAGACGCTGGAATCCGTGACAGGGTGAGGGAAGGCAGACGCTGGAATCCGTGACAGGGTGATGGAAGGCAGACGCTGGAATCCGTGACAGGGTGAGGGAAGGCAGACGCTGGAATCCGTGACAGGGTGATGGAAGGCAGACGCTGGAATCCGTGACAGGGTGAGGGAAGGCAGACGCTGGAATCCGTGACAGGGTGATGGAAGGCAGACGCTGGAATCCGTGACAGGGTGAGGGAAGGCAGACGCTGGAATACGTGACAGGGTGATGGAAGGCAGACGCTGGAATACGTGACAGGGTGAGGGCTTTGCATAGGCGCTTTGTTTAGTTTTTTTGTGGGACTGGAAAAAAATGGCCGTAATTGAAATAACTTTATTAACCAGTTCCCATGTTTTTAACATAACGGTTCTATTCCGGAACAGTATAGATGACTTTCGTTTCCCGTTCGGGTTCTGTTCCCAAAATAATTTCATTTTTTTCCTGTTTTGTTCCCTGGAACCGGTTCCTACCCTTGGTTAGAACGGTTTGTGATGTGTGCGTGTGAGAAAGAGAACAGGAGGGAGTGTGTTTTTGAATAAACTCTGCTTCCAGTGGAGCCATGCAAATGGAGATGCTCTAATCAGGAAGAGACAGAGAGAAAGGGGATGTGAGAGTCGTTCAGAGCAGATTACCATCAGACAGGTCAAATCTCTCTCTCTCTCTCTCTCCCCGCCCACCCGACTAGAATCACTACTCTCGGCGGGTCTGACTTAGAATATGTGTACAACTACAAATACCTAGGTGTCTGGTTAGACTGTAAACTCTCCTTCCAGACTCACATTAAGAATCTCCAATCCAAAGTTAAATCTAGAATCGGCTTCCTATTTCGCAACAAAGCCTCCTTCACTCATGCTGCCAAACATGCCCCCGTAAAACTGACTATCCTACCGATCCTTGACTTCGGCGTTGTCATTTACAAATCCCCGCCTTAGCTCATTGGTCACCATAGCAACACCCACCCGTAGTCTGCGCTCCAGCAGGTATAACTCACTGGTCATCCCCAAAGCCAACACCTCCTTTGGCCGCCATTCCTTCCAGTTCTCTGCTGCCAATGACTGGAACGAACTGCAAAAATCTCTGAAGCTGGAGACACTTATCTCCCTCACTAACTTTAAGCATCAGTTGTCAGAGCACCTTACCGATCACTGCACCTGTACACAGCCCATCTGTAATTAGCCCACCCAACTACCTCATCCCTATATTGTTATTTATTTTGCTCTTTTGCACCCCAGTATCTCTATTTGCACATCATCTTCTGCACATCTATCATTCCAGTGTTAATACTAATTGTAATTATTTTGCACTATGGCCTATTTATTGCCTTACCTCCATAACTTGCTACATTTGCACACACTGTATATATATTTTCTGTTGTATTTTTGACTTTATGTTTTGTTTACCCCATATGTAACTCTGTGTTGTTGTTTTTATCGCACTGCTTTGCTTTATCTTGGTCAGGTCGCAGTTGTAAATGAGAACTTGTTCTCAACTGACTTACCTGGTTAAATAAAGGTGAAATAAAATAAATAAATAGAGAATGCCAATTATGATTTTCATATACACATTTACATTAAATAGTTTCATTTATATTAAAGTCTTCATAGCTCAACATCAATGTCATGTGGTTAATCAAAATTACTCAAGATTGACAGGAGCGCTCCAAACAAAAGACAATTAATTAATTGACAACTTGTAAATGGAATGAAATAAACCAAAACTAGTTTCTCACAAGTGTAGCCTAGGTTGTGGCTCTGCAAACAACGTGTCCACTCCTACAATGACAACGGTCAGACTGGAATAATAATATATTGAATGCATCAACAGAAATGACCGTAACCAAACAAACATGTAGATGATTAACGATGGTAATTAAGGGTAAATATACTACTGGTGATACTGGTTGTCGTCCCCTCTGCCTCCGCAATGGATTAGTTTATTTTTTTTGCCACTGCTCGACTAAAATAAATATTGGTCGACCAACAGCCTATCAACCAAACAATCGACCCTTTCCCAAACCTGGCAGGGTGGGGCCTTTCCCAAACCTGGCAGGGTGGGGCCTTTCCCAAACCTGGCAGGGTGGGGCCTTTCCCAAACCTGGCAGGGTGGGGCCTTTCCCAAACGGGGGCCTTTCCCAAACCTGGCAGGGTGGGGCCTTTCCCAAACCTGGCAGGGTGGGGCCTTTCCCAAACCTGGCAGGGTGGGGCCTTTCCCAAACCTGGCAGGGTGGGGCCTTAACCATACCTGGCAGGGTGGGGCCTTAACCATACCTGGCAGGGTGGGGCCTTAACCATACCTGGCAGGGTGGGGCCTTAACCATACCTGGCAGGGTGGGGGCTTAACCAAACCTGGCAGGGTGGGGCCTTAACCATACCTGGCAGGGTGGGGCCTTTCCCAAACCTGGCAGGGTGGGGCCTTTCCCAAACCTGGCAGGGTGGGGCCTTTCCCAAACCTGGCAGGGTGGGGCCTTAACCATACCTGGCAGGGTGGGGCCTTTCCCAAACCTGGCAGGGTGGGGCCTTAACCATACCTGGCAGGGTGGGGCCTTTCCCAAACCTGGCAGGGTGGGGCCTTAACCAAACCTGGCAGGGTGGGGCCTTAACCAAACCTGGCAGGGTGGGGCCTTAACCAAACCTGGCAGGGTGGGGCCTTAACCAAACCTGGCAGGGTGGGGCCTTAACCAAACCTGGCAGGGTGGGGCCTTAACCAAACCTGGCAGGGTGGGGCCTTAACCAAACCTGGCAGGGTGGGGCCTTAACCAAACCTGGCAGGGTGGGGCCTTAACCATACCTGGCAGGGTGGGGCCTTTCCCAAACCTGGCAGGGTGGGGCCCGGTCAGGTATACTATACTGAAGATTGAACAGCGCCGGAGAAGATGGCTGCCGTTTTACAGCCCTCTAACCAATTGTACTATTATGTGTGTTTTTCCGCGTTATTTGTAATTTATTCTGTACATAATGTTTCTGCCATCGTCTCTTATAACCAAAAAGAGCTTCTGGATATCAGGACAGCGATAACTCACCTCGTATTGGACGAAGATTTTTTCTTCAACGAGGCGGCCGCGAAGGATATCATACAGACACCCGACAAGGCCCAAATCTCCGTCATTCGCATGAGGAAGAGACGGAGATATCGTGGACGTAGGTCGGGTTGCCTTGTAAGGATCCGACGGTGAGCGAGTAAACTGCCTCTTCCATCAATCCTATTAGCCAATCTTCAATCATTGGAGAACAAATTGGATGACCTAAGATTACGGTTATCCTACCAAGGGGACATTAAAAACTGTAATATCTTATGTTTCACCGAGTCGTGGCTGAACGACGACATGGATAACATACAGCTAGCGGGCTATACGCTACATCGGCAGGATAGAACGGCTGACTCCGGTAAGACAAAGGGTGGCGGTCTGTGTATATTTGTAAACAACAGCTGGTGCACAAAATCAAATACTAAGGAAGTCTCGAGGTTTTGCTCGCCTGAGGTAGAGTATCTCATGATAAGCTGTAGACCACACTATTTACCAAGAGAGTTTTCATCTATATTTTTCATAGCTGTCTATCTACCACCACAAACCGATGCTGGCATTAAGATTGCACTGAATGAGCTGTATAAGGCCATAAATCAACAGGAAAACGCTCATCCAGATGCAGCGCTCCTAGTGGCCGGGGACTTTAATGCAGGGAAACTTAAATCCGTTCTACCTAATTTCTACCAGCATGTTAAATGTGCAACCAGAGGAAAAAAAACTCTAGACCACCTTTACTCCACACACAGAGACGCGTACAAAGCTCTCCCTCCATTTGGCAAATCTGACCATAACTCTATCCTCCTGATTCCTGCTTATAAGCAAAAACTAAAGCAGGAAGCACCAGTGACTCGGTCAATAAAAAGTGGTCAGATGACGCAGATGCTAAGCTACAGGACTGTTTTGCTAGCACAGACTGGAACATGTTCCGGGATTCTTCAGATAGCATTGAGGAGTACACCACATCAGTCACTGGTTTCATCAATAAGTGCATCGATGATGTCGTCCCCACAGTGACCGTACGTACATACCCCAACCAGAAGCCATGGATTACAGGAAACATCCGCACTGAGCTAAAGGGTAGAGCTGCCGCTTTCAAGGAGTGGGACTCTAACCCAGACGCTTATAAGAAATCCCGCTATGCCCTCAGACGAACCATCAAACAGGCAAAGAGTCAATACAGGACTAAGATTGAATCGTACTACACTGGCTCTGACGCTCGTCGGATGTGGCAGGGCTTGAAAACTATTACAGACTACAAAGGGAAGCACAGCCGCGAGCTGCCCAGTGACACAAGCCTACCAGACGAGCTAAACCACTTCTATGCTCGCTTCGAGGCAAGCAACACTGAAGCATGCATGAGAGCACCAGCTGTTCCGGATGACTATGTGATCACGCTCTCCGTAGCCGATGTGAGTAAGACTTTTAAGCAGGTCAACATTCACAAGGCCGCAGGGCCAGACGGATTACCAGGACGTGTACTCCGAGCATGTGCTGACCAACTGGCAAGTGTCTTCACTGACATTTTCAACATGTCCCTGACTGAGTCTGTAATACCAACATGTTTCAAGCAGACCACCATAGTCCCTGTGCCCAAGAACACTAAGATTAGCTGCCAAAATAACTACCGACCCGTAGCACTCACGTCTGTAGCCATGAAGTGCTTTGAAAGGCTGGTCATGGCTCACATCAACAGCATTATCCCAGAAACCCTAGACCCACTCCAATTTGCATACCGCCCCAACAGATCCACAGATGACGCAATCTCTATTGCACTCCACACTGCCCTTTCCCACCTGGACAAGAGGAACACCTACGTGAGAATGCTATTCATTGACTACAGCTCAACATTCAACACCATAGTGCCCTCAAAGCTCATCACTAAGCTAAGGATCCTGGGACTAAACACCTCCCTCTGCAACTGGATCCTGGACTTCCTGACGGGCCGCCCCCAGGTGGTAAGGGTAGGTAACAACACATCTGCCACACTGATCCTCAACACGGGGGCCCCTCAGGGGTGCGTGCTCAGTCCCCTCCTGTACTCCTGTTCACCCATGACTGCATGGCCAGGCACGACTCCAACACCATCATTAAGTTTGCCGACGACACAACAGTGGTAGGCCCGATCACCGACAACGATGAGACAGCCTATAGAGAGGAGGTCAGAGACCTGGCCGTATGGTGCCAGGACAACAACCTCTCCCTCAACGTGACCAAGACAAAGGAGATGATTGTGGACTACAGGAAAAAAAAGAGGACTGAGCACGCCCCCATTCTCATCGACGGGGCTGTAGTGGAACAGGTTGAGAGCTTCAAGTTCCTTGGTGTCCACATCACCAACAAACTATCATGGTCCAAACACACCAAGACAGTCGTGAAGAGGGCACGACAAAGCCTATTCCCCCTCAGGAGACTGAAAAGATTTGGCATGGGTCCTCAGATCCTCAACAAATTCTACAGCTGCACCATCGAGAGCATCCTGACTGGTATGGCAACTGCTTGGCCTCCGACCGCAAGGCACTACAGAGGGTAGTGCATACGGCCCAGTACATCACTGGGGCCAAGCTTCCTGCCATCCAGGACCTCTATACCAGGTGGTGTCAGAGGAAGGCCCTCAAAATTGTCAAAGACCCCAGCCACCCTAGTCATAGACTGTTCTCTCTGCTACCGCACGGCAAGCGGTACCGGAGTGCCAAGTCTAGATCCAAAAGACTTCTCAACAGCTCCTACCCCCAAGCCATAAGACTCCTGAACAGCTAATCATGGCTACCCGGACTATTTGCACTGCCCCCCCACCCCATCCTTTTTACGCTACTGCTACTCTGTTAATTATGTATGCATAGTCACTTTAACTCTACCACATGTACATATTACTTCAACTACCTCAACTAGCCGGTGCCCCCGCACATTGACTCTGCACTCTGCATTTTTTGTTAAAAATAAATGCTCTGTTGTTTAAGGGCTGTAAGTAAGCATTTCACTGTAATGTCTGCACCTGTTGTATTCGGCGCATGTGACCAATAAAATGTGATTTGATTTTACATCAAAATGTCCTCTCACTTCCTTCTTTCATCTTGATCAATGCTGCTGGAAACTGTGTCAACAACCCTGAACTCTCCACACCAGCCTGCTAGCACAGCCCTGTAGCAGACTGAGCCTCAGCCCTAGCCATAGTCCCCGATCCAGACAGACCCACACTGTGCAGAGCAGGCTCAGTGATAGTCCAGGGACCGGTTACCTGGAGGGGCAGCCAGGGGGATAAGAGCAGCTCTCCTACCTCTTGACCACCAAATTCAGGGTCTTGTATGATCCCTTGACCAGGCAGATGGCCTCCTGCCTGTAACCGCTCAGAGGGACCTGGTTGATGTTCACCATCTCGTCTCCAACCTGGAGGCTGACCGCTGCTGCCCTGCTGCCCTCCTCCACCTGCAACACACAGCACATTTAGGGTTAACAGAGTAGATTTAGGGTTGGGGTTAACAGAGTAGATTTAGGGTTGGGGTTAACAGAGTAGATTTAGGGTTGGGGTTAACAGAGTAGATTTAGGGTTGGGGTTAACAGAGTAGATTTAGGGTTGGGGTTAACAGAGTAGATTTAGGGTTGGGGTTAACAGAGTAGATTTAGGGTTGGGGTTAACAGAGTAGATTTAGGGTTGGGGTCAACACAGCACATTTAGGGTTAGTGTTGACACAGCAGATCTGGTATTTATTAGGATGAAACATGACATAACACACAACATTATTATTTAAGGACTGAAATACATAAATGTAAAACATCACACATAGCCTACATGTCAGTACACACACACACTATCTAGGTCTAATACATAACAGTGTAAATTACAATACCAGATATATCAAATGGCTGCTTCTCTTCAGTGCCCTTTGTGCAGTCAGGTGTTATTTTATCTGGTTTTTGGTTTTATTGCTGGCTTGAGTTACCTGGGGTGGCAGAGAGGTCCATGTAGTCATGGCTCTACTGGGGTGGCAGAGAGGTCCATGTAGTCATGGCTCTACTGGGGTGGCAGAGGGGTCCATGTAGTCATGGCTCTATTTCTTTCAGCCAATCATCAGTCATTTGTGTCAGTCATGTTAAGCATGCTGAAAGTCTGTTGTTAATTTGTTTTCTGTAAAATAACTTTGTATTTGATCAAACACATTTGTTTCCAGAAGTTTGCTAAGCACTTGTTACAGGCTGATTGGTCAGCTGTTTGAACCATTAAAGGGTGCTCTGCTATTCTTGGGTAGTGGAAGGACCTTTGCCTCCCTTCATGTCTGAGGGCACACACCGTCTTCTAGGCTTAAATGGAAGATGTGGAAGACAGGAGTCACAATGTATTCCGCTACCAACCTCAGCAATTTACCATCCAGGTTGTCGGTACCAGGTGGCTTGTCTTTATTTATAGATAGCAACAAGTTTCTCCCCTCTTTCACACCCACTTTGTGGAACTCAAAACTACAGTGCTTGTCTTTCATTATTTGGTCCATTATGTATGAATATGAAGGCTCAGTGTTTGTTGTTTGCATGTTATGCTTAAATTTGCTAATCTTTTCAACAAAAAAGTTATTAAAGTGGTTGGCAATATCAAAGGGTTTTGTTATGAACAATTTAGGGTTAACACACAGCAGATTTAGGGTTAACAGCAGATTTAGGGTTAGCAGACCATGTATAATGTGATAGTAGGGCATTAACAGTATGTCTGAAGGCCTCCAAACACACAGCAGAGATTAGAAAGTGATAGTAGGGTAACAGAGTATTCATTGATGATCCTTTCCAGGTTGAATGGAAACAAAACAATCCCCATTGAAACATTTAGCTCAATATACTACTATACTGAACAAAAACAGAAACACAACATGTAAAGTGTTGGTCCCGGTTCATGAGCTGAAATAAAAGATCCCAGAAACTTTACATACGAACAAAAAACGTATCTCTCTCAAATTTTGTGCACAAACTTGTTTACATCCCAGTTAGTGAGCATTTCTCCTTAGCCAAGATAATCCATCCACTTGACAGGTGTGGCATATCAAGAAGCTGATTAAACAGCATGATCATTTCACAGGCGCACCTTGTGCTGGGAACAATAAAAGGCCAGTTTTGTCACACAACACAATGCCACAGATGTTTCAAGTTTTGAGGGAGCGCGCAATTGGCATGCTGACTGCAGGAATGTCCACCAGAGCTGTTGCCAGAGAATGTAATGTTCATTTCTCTAACGTCGTTTTAGAGAATTTGGCAGTTCGTCCAACCGGCCTCACAACCGCAGACCACGTGTAACCACGCCAGCCCAGGACCTCCACATCCGGCTTCTTCACCTGCGGGATCGTCTGAGACCAGCCACCCAGCTGATGAAACTGTGGGTTTGCACAACCGAAGTCTGCACAAACTGTCAGAAACCGTCTCAGGGAAGCTCATCTGCGTGCTCGTTGTCCTCACCAGGGTCTTGACCTGACTGCAGTTCGGCGTCGTAACCGACTTCAGCGAGCAAATGCTCACCTTCTATGGCCACTGGCAAGTTTGCTCTTCATGGATGAATCCCGGTTTCAACTGTACCGAGCAGATGGCAGAACCGTGTATGGCGTCGTGTGGGCGAGCGGTTTGCTGAACGTTGTGAACAGAGTGCCCCATGAGGGCGGTGGGGTTATGGTATGGGCAGGCATAAGCTACGGACAAAGAGATACTGTGACAAGATCCTAAGGCCCATTGTCGTGTCATTCATCAGCTGCCATCACCTCATGTTTCAGCATGATAATATATAATATAATAATAATATAATATGCCATTTAGCAGACGCTTTTATCCAAAGCGACTTACAGTCATGCGTGCATACATTTTTTTGTGTATGGGTGGTCCCGGGGATCGAACCCACTACCTTGGCGTTACAAGCGCCGTGCTCTACCAGCTGAGCTACAGAGGACCACAGAGGACAGAGGACCATAATGCACGGCCCCATGTCGCAAGGATCAGTACACAATTCCTGGAAGCTGAAAATGTTCTTCCTGAAAGTCTGTATTGCCCAGCGACAGCCCCGAAACCTGAAGGATCTGGAGAAGGTCTGTATGGAGGACTGGGCCAAAATCCCTGCTGCAATGTGTGCAAACCTGGTCAAGACCTACAGGAAACGTATGATCTCTGTAATTGCAAACAAAGGTTTCTGTACCAAATATTAAGTTCTGCTTTTCTGATGTATCAAATACTTATGTCATGCAATAAAATGCAAATTAATTACTTAAAAATCATACAGTGTGATTTTCTGGATTTTTGATCCAATAGAAGTGTACCTATGATAAAAATTACAGACCTCTACATGCTTTGTAAGTAGGAAAAACTGCAAAATCGGCAGTGTATCAAATACTTGTTCTCCCCACTGTATATAGACATCTACATATATAGCCATCTACATATATAGTCATCTACATCAACATAAAATATATCAAAATATGCCTCTGTGATTGTGTATTTGTCCACTTAGTCAGACTCCCTCCAGGGGGTAGGCCTGGGGCCTGGGTCCTGGGCCAGAGCAGAGGATCACAGAACATATTTTTATCATTGCATTTTGACCCTTTCATCATTGAAATACTGAGCTACTGTCCGAGCCCCTGGTTCCGTGCTGGGTGTACTGTCCGAGCCCCTGGTTCCGTGCTGGGTGTACTGTCCGAGCCCCTGGTTCCGTGCTGGGTGTACTGTCCGAGCCCCTGGTTCCGTGCTGGGGTGTACCTGTCCCGCGCCCCTGGGTTCCGTGCTGGGTGTACTGTCCGAGCCCCTGGTTCCGTGCTGGGTGTACTGTCCGAGCCCTGGTTCCGTGCTGGGTGTACTGTCCGAGCCCCCTGGTTTCCGGCTGGTGGGTGTACTGTCCGAGCCCCTGGTTCCGTGCTGTGCTGGTTCGTGCTGGGTGTACTGTCCGAGCCCCTGGTTCCGTGCTGGGTGTACTGTCCGAGCCCCTGGTTCCGTGCTGGGTGTACTGTCCGAGCCCCTGGTTCCGTGCTGGGTGTACTGTCCGAGCCCCTGGTTCCGTGCTGGGTGTACTGTCCGAGCCCCTGGTTCCGTGCTGGGTGTACTGTCTGAGCCCTGGTTCCGTGCTGGGTGTACTGTCCGAGCCCCTGGTTCCGTGCTGGGTGTACTGTCCGAGCCCCTGGTTCTAGTGCAGGCTGGAGAGGTTCATGGTAGGGGTTTTCTTAGCAGTTCAAGAAATTCACAAAAAACAAGGAATCCTGGTAGAGGATGAAAGAGCCTGAAACTGGAAAAACGCAGAGCTCCAACAGGACTTTTCCCTCAGATAACCTTGAACCATTCCCTCCCATCCCCCCCACTAACACACTAATACACCTTTCAAACCAGGACGTTTTCCCGCCAACTTTTTGCATCCTGCCAACAAAGCCTCTACATTTATTTCCACCAGACGACCTAGTCATGATGGCGGTAAAGTTCCGCCTAGGGCTCAGTATGAAACGTAGCCGTAATGAGACGACCTAGTCATGATGGCGGTAAAGTTCCGCCTAGGGCTCAGTATGAAACGTAGCCGTAATGCTGAGGTGGCATTGGCACGCTCTTAAGATCTTGATGATTGCTAGGCAGCGCCGGTTATAATAATAATAATTAGTCATTTAGCAGACGCTCTTATCCAGAGCGACTTACAGGAGCAATTAGGGTTAAGTGCCTTGCTCAAGGGCACAGACAGATTTTTCACCTAGTCTGCTCGGGGATTAGAACCAGCGACCTTTCGGTTACTGGCACAACGCTCTTAACCACTAAGCTACCTGCCGCCCTATAGGTTACTACTATGCAGTTGTAAACTTTGTGAGGCGTCACTTCACTTCATCTCTTCACATAGCACTGTTTTCTGACCACAACTGGATCCATAAAGAATGACTGTGGGAATAAATATCACTGAATGACAGATACATTGGAATAAATTAGACTGATGCCATTGAAGGCAACACATTGTTGCTTTACGAAACTTCCAAAGTCATCCAATTGTTATAATAGGATTTGAAGCAATAGCCTACCCTGCGTGTTAAACTATTTCAGCACTGTTTCGTGCTGCTTTGAAACAAGCGTGGGGACTCATCTTGAAAAACCAATCAATGTCTGATTTTTATTTTCACTGAATCTCCATTTTGGATATTGGTTAGGCTACAATTAGGCTGTGGAAAGGTTAGCTGGGGTGAGTGTTGCCAATGATCATCTTGTTTAGTTGGCTCATTTCTTAGCACAGATCAGAACAGTTTGCTAGCGTGTTTCGTAGTTTATCAAGTGGATTATTTTTTTATCAAGTGAAGCCTCTTGACTTGTCTTAATCAATGTGATTTTGCTTCACTGAATCTCCGTCTGTATAGGCTATTTGGTTCATTGGTTTCTGGCTGGGCAAATAAGTGGAGGTGGAATAGCTGATTTAGTACTGATCAGAAACATTTAGCATGATAGAATGTAGCCCAAATCAAATGGAGGTCTATCATTTTTGCTAGATCGCGTAAAGGCAAAATATTCCTATTAATATAATAAGTCTATTCTTTTGAAAATACATTTTATTAGTCTTATGTTTCTTAGGACCTGTCTAAAAAAATTAATAATGGATTTCTTTGTGATGGTGTATATTGAATGGATTTATTAAAATAGACGTCCACCACCATCGGCCCATGCCTACTCCTAAACCACCATCGGCCCATGCCTACTCCTAAACCACCATCGGCCCATGTCTACTCCTAAACCACCATCGGCCCATGTCTACTCCTAAACCACCATCGGCCCATGTCTACTCCTAAACCACCATCGGCCCATGTCTATTCCTAAACCACCATCGGCCCATGCCTACTCCTAAACCACCATCGGCCCATGCCTACTCCTAAACCACCATCGGCCCATGCCTACTCCTAAACCACCATCGGCCCATGCCTACTCCTAAACCACCATCGGCCCATGTCTACTCCTAAACCACCATCGGCCCATGTCTACTCCTAAACCACCATCGGCCCATGTCTACTCCTAAACCACCATCGGCCCATGCCTACTCCTAAACCACCATCGGCCCATGCCTACTCCTAAACCACCATCGGCCCATGCCTACTCCTAAACCACCATCGGCCCATGCCTACTCCTAAACCACCATCGGCCCATGCCTACTCCTAAACCACCATCGGCCCATGCCTACTCCTAAACCACCATCGGCCCATGCCTACTCCTAAACCACCATCGGCCCATGCCTACTCCTAAACCACCATCGGCCCATGTCTACTCCTAAAAATGTGGTAAAAATGGGACTGTATGATTGTTGTTTTCCTGGCAGCATACTGTAAAGTCTGTATGATTGTTGTTTTACAGGCAGCATACCGTAAAGGATGTATTATTTTTGTTTTACAGGCAGCATACCGTAAAGGATGTGTGTTTTACAGGCAGCATACTGTAAAGTGTGTATGTTGTTTTACAGGCAGCATACTGTAAAGTATGTATGATTGCTGTTTTACAGGCAGCATACTGTAAAGTCTGTATGATTGCTGTTTTACAGGCAGCATACTGTAAAGTCTGTATGATTGTTGTTTTACAGGCAGCATACTGTAGTTAGTATGATTGTTGTTTTACAGGCAGCATACTGTAGTTTGTATGATTGTTGTTTTACAGGCAACATACTGTAAAGTCTGTATGATTGTTGTTTTACAGGCAGCATACTGTAGTCTGTATGATTGTTGTTTTACAGGCAGCATACTGTAAAGTCTGTATGATTGTTGTTTTACAGGCAGCATACTGTAAAGTCTGTATGATTGTTGTTTTACAGGCAGCATACTGTAAAGTCTGTATGATTGTTGTTTTACAGGCAGCATACTGTAAAGTCTGTATGATTGTTGTTTTACAGGTAGCATACTGTAGTCTGTATGATTGTTGTTTTACAGGCAGCATACTGTAGTCTGTATGATTGTTGTTTTACAGGTAGCATACTGTAGTCTGTATGATTGTTGTTTTACAGGCAGCATACTGTAAAGTCTGTATGATTGTTGTTTTACAGGTAGCATACTGTAGTCTGTATGATTGTTGTTTTACAGGTAGCATACTGTAGTCTGTATGATTGTTGTTTTACAGGTAGCATACTGTAGTTTGTATGATTGTTGCTTTACAGGCAGCATACTGTAAAGTCTGTATGATTGTTGTTTTACAGGTAGCATACTGTAGTTTGTATGATTGTTGTTTTACAGGCAGCATACTGTAGTTTGTATGATTGTTGTTTTACAGGCAGCATACTGTAAAGTCTGTCTAAAGGGTATAACACACACAGACAGACTCCTCTTAAGTTACCGTGCTGACAGTTAGCTCTGCTTTGATGGAGTCTAAACAGTGTGTGTGTGTTCCCATCTTTCTGTATGTCTCTCTGCCATTGACCACTCCTTCAGATTGATCATTTAAAACCCTTCTAAACAGTTTATCACATTCTGTTTTAAATCATCTATTAGTCATCAACAGCGTAATCAGAAGAAGCAGGGATGATAAGAGCTTTATTTAATCAACCAAGACAACACACTGATGTTCCATTCAGACACGCTGCATCCTCTTTACATCAGAAGGTGGTGAAATCACAGAGTAATAGATCAAGGTACAAGCAGAACCGGATGTATAAGCATGTCTGTTCTGTTAATGAGCAGAACCGGATGTATAAGCATGTCTGTTCTGTTAATGAGCAGAACCAGATGTATAAGCATGTCTGTTCTGTTAATGAGCAGAACCTGATGTATAAGCATGTCTGTTCTGTTAATGAGCAGAACCTGATGTATAAGCATGTCTGTTCTGTTTAGCTAAAGGTTTCCACTGCCAGCAGAGCTAAAGATTTCCACTGCCAGCAGAGCTAAAGGATTTCCACTGCCAGCAGAGCTAAAGGTTTCCACTGCCAGCAGAGCTAAAGGTTTCCACTGCCAGCAGAGCTAAAGGTTTCCACTGCCAGCAGAGCTAAAGGTTTCCACTGCCAGCAGAGCTAAAGGTTTCCACTGCCAGCAGAGCTAAAGGTTTCCACTGCCAGCAGAGCTAAAGGTTTCCACTGCCAGCAGAGCTAAAGGTTTCCACTGCCAGCAGAGCTAAAGGTTTCCACTGCCAGCAGAGCATTTTCAAGAATGAAAAACCTTGTTTGTTTTTGTGTTCGTAGACAGCTGCCTGTGTATGAGGTGCTGCCATGCAGAACAGGATGATGTAGCTTCATTGAGACCGAGGACTTAAAATCCACCAAGACCTTTGGCAAAACTTAACGGTATGGGAGGAATGTTAAGAATTTTAATTAGAAGCAGATTATTTTACATTACTGATAAGCAACCTACCTCGGTTGCTGGGTGGGATTGGGGGCATGCTTTCTTCAGGTCAGGGAGGTGGGGGAAGCATGGTTTCTGGGTGGGGTGTGAGGGAGGGTGGGGACTGAGGGGGGGGGGGGGGGGGTGGATGGGTTATCTTTGTATACATTTATCTTTGTACCCCCCCCCTGAAAAATAAAAAGGACAAAACCAAATAAAAAGTTGGTCACAAAAAAAAAGCTTATTTTTCAGCTTGAAACAATGCTGCTCTCTGACTGGCTGTCTGGTTGACACAATGCTGCTCTCTGACTGGCTGTCTGGTTGACACAATGCTGCTCTCTGACTGGCTGTTCGGTTGAAACAATGCTGTCTCTGACTGGCTGTCTGGTTGACACAATGCTGCTCTCTGACTGGCTGTCTGGTTTGAACACAATGCTGCTCTCTGACTGGCTGTCTGGTTTGAAACAATGCTGCTCTCTGACTGGCTGTCCTGGGTTGACACAATGCGCTCTCTGACTGGCTGTCTGGTTGAACAATGCTGCTCTCTGACTGGCTGTCTGGTTGACACAATGCTGCTCTCTGACTGGCTGTCTGGTTGACACAATGCTGCTCTCTGACTGGCTGTCTGGTTGACACAATGCTGCTCTCTGACTGGCTGTCTGGTTGACACAATGCTATATTGCTCTGACTGACGGTCTTTAATCAGCCAGGCTGCAGTCTGTAGAGCTCTGCTCTCTGAGTTCCTCGGGCCAGGCTGCAGAGCAGCACAGTGAGGGAACACATAGGAGCTCTACCAAGGGAACGATCTGTACTTCACACAAAGTAAACTAATACAATTCATGTCAACACATTCCAAAATATTACACAAGTCATTTCAAAATCCCATACTCAACAAGAACATGTCTGTTATTCAGAGAACGTAGGTTATCATAACAAGAACCCCTGATGACAAACTGACCAGGTCAACTGGGTTCATGCTCTAGTAGGGCCCTACTTTAGGGACTCACCGAAGGAGGCCTCAACCTCCAGAATCAGACTGCTGGAGGCCTCAACCTCCAGAATCAGACTGCTGGAGGCCCCAACCTCCAGAATCAGACTGCTGGAGGCCCCAACCTCCAGAATCAGACTGCTGGAGGCCTCAACCTCCAAAATCAGACTGCTGGAGGCCTCAACCTCCAGAATCAGACTGCTGGAGGCCTCAACATCCAGAATCAAAGCCTGCTGGAGAGGTCTAGAGGTAAATGACCTGGTACCTCTGCACATGGACTCGGTACTGGTACTCTGTGCATATAGCCACGTTATCGTTACGGATTGTGGATTTATTCCTCATCTTATGATTTCTCTATTTTCCTCTCTGCGTTGTGGGGAAGGTCTTATTATTTCTCAATTTTCCTCTCTGCGTTGTGGGGAAGGTCTTATGATTTCTCCATGTTCCTCTCTGCGTTGTGGGGAAGGTCTTATTATTTCTCTATTTTCCTCTCTGCGTTGTGGGGAAGGTCTTATTATTTCTCTATTTTCCTCTCTGCGTTGTGGGGAAGGTCTTATTATTTCTCTATTTTCCTCTCTGCGTTGTGGGGAAGGTCTGTAAGTAAACGATTAGGCTACACCTGTTATTTACCAAGCATGTGACAAATAACATTTCATACAGGAGACAAGGAGAGCTAAACTGTTGTGCATACTGAAACTGTCCGAGTACATTTACATGAACACTAATAATTCAATATTAAACGGAGTTGGCAATTAGGCAGGTACGGCATCATCATTTAACCATACGCCATCTTGGGCAATGGGCAGAGTACGGCATCAGTCATGTTAACACCATACTCCATGCTTATTCAGGCAGGAGTACGGCCTCAGTCATGTTAACACCATACTCCATTTATTCAGGCAGAGTACGGCATCCAGTCATGTTAACGCCATACTCCATCCTTATTCAGGCAGAGTACGGCATCAGTCATGTTAACACCATACTCAATCTTATTCAGGCAGAGTACGGCATCAGTCATGTTAACACCATACTCCATCTTATTCAGGCAGAGTACGGCATCAGTCATGTTAACACCATACTCCATCTTATTCAGGCAGAGTACGGCATCAGTCATGTTAACACCATACTCCATCTTATTCAGGCAGAGTACGGCATCAGTCATGTTAACACCATACTCCATCTTATTCAGGCAGAGTACGGCATCGGTCATGTTAACACCATACTCCATCTTATTCAGTGTAAGGTCATAATAGAAGTAAGCATAAACTGGCTAAAACATCCAATCTTTAGGATTATTAGGACACCTTAAATCGGAGTTCCAACAGTGTATCTGCTCTATGAACCGGGTCCAGTGCCTCCCGAGTGGCGCAGTGGTCTAAGGCACTGCATCGCAGTGCTAGCTGTGCCACTAGAGATCCTGGTTCGAATCCAGGCTCTGTCGTAGCTGGCCGCGACCGGGAGACCCATGGGGCGGCGCACAATTGGCCCAGCGTCGTCCATGGAAGGGGAGGGAATGGCCGGCAGGGATGTAGCTCAGTTGGTAGAGCATGGCGTTTGCAACGCCAGGGTTGTGGGTTCAATTCCCACGGGGGGTATGAAAAATAAAATAAAAAAATGTATGCACTAACTGTAAGTCGCTCTGGATAAGAGCATCTGCTAAATGACTAAAAATGTAAATGTAAGTCAGTAAAATCTTTGAAATTGTTGCATGTTGCGTTTATATTTTTGTTCAGTATAAATAATTTAGATACAATAGTAGAAACAGATAGAGTTCTACAACTGAATATTGTAGAATCAACAGAGTGCCACAAAAGGCTGAGTGATGCAGCTTATTTATAATTAGAGTTCAGGGCTCTAACGCTGACATACAGAAGTTGACATTTAGGAGCACAATAAAAGTATGAGTGTTTTAAAGAAATTACTAAAAGTTCAATGATAAGAGTTTCGGAGTGTTCAAGCTTAATCAAGCACAATGTACCGCCAAATATTTTAGTCTTTAGGTGAGACACATTTTCAGCTTCCCCTTTAAGGGGCGGGCCATGACCGTGGTTATCGGCCACGTTCCAAAATGAGCTTCGAAGAACACCTGAGAGGGCCCTCTGGAGAGGAAGGTGGACGTCTTTGGAACACTCAAGTGCACTAGCCGGAGAACGACGCTCAATTGAATGACATGTACAGTTAGTAAACAAGGAAAGACAGAAAGTTGTTGTAGAAGAAAAGACCAGGAATAAAGCTAGCTGGGGGAGAGAGGGTTGGAGGTCAGAAATGGCGGCAAGTAGTGCAGACGAAATGGAGGAAATTGAGAAAAAGTTGGTGAAGCAACAGCTGTGCTGGAATGCGAAAAATATGGCTGTCAGTTCTGTTGGTATGGAGCGGGAGGATGAGGGTCAAGGACCGGAATGGTCGGTAGTGGAAAGACACAGGAAGAAGAGAGATCATGATACAGAAAGCAGTGGAGCGTCTAGTACAGAAAGGATAGAGGGCCAAGGTAGGAAGCAAGAGTAGTGATGTGTTGGAGTGGAAAGGGGTGATAGTGTTGGATGAGACCACAGGGCCTCACTTACACCCTGACTAATGCCATAGAGAAAGAGGTAGGGGAAGTGAAATTAGCTTGGTTCATTGGAAATGGTAGATTGTTAATATTCAGATGTTACTGTTGAAATGGGTGTTGACATGCTGAACAATCCTACGGGTGGATCAAGTTTAATGGAGTTGGGGAGGAGGGAGGTTGTGGTAGAAGTTTGGGATTTATTTGGTTTAGAACGATTCTTAAATTTTTTTCATGGTAGTACAGAATTGGACAGATCATGATTGATTGAACATTCCAGTACAGTCGCTGGCGGCGTGCACTTAAATGTTTTGTTTGCGGACCGCCATGATGTCATCGAAGAAGAACACCTGAGAGAGACTGTCTAGTGTGGAACGCACTTCGACGTGACCTCTAACCTAAAACAGGAAACTGCATCGTCACGCTGCCAGCGTCAACAAAGCTAGCTTTCATGCTAGCTAGCTAAGTCAGTTCACATTATACCCAATGTAGCAGCATGAGCAACTACTGCTAGCAATTGAATGAAGAACTATCCCAGAATGGTAATATACAGTGGGGAAAAAAAGTATTTAGTCAGCCACCAATTGTGCAAGTTCTCCCACTTAAAAAGATGAGAGACGCCTGTAATTTTCATCATAGGTACACGTCAACTATGACAGACAAAATGAGGAAAAAAAATCCAGAAAATCACATTGTAGGATTTTTAATGAATTTATTTGCAAATTTTGGTGGAAAATAAGTATTTGGTCAATAACAAAAGTTTCTCAATACTTTGTTATATACCCTTTGTTGGCAATGACACAGGTCAAACGTTTTCTGTAAGTCTTCACAAGGTTTTCACACACTGTTGCTGGTATTTTGGCCCATTCCTCCATGCAGATCTCCTCTAGAGCAGTGATGTTTTGGGGCTGTCGCTGGGCAACACGGACTTTCAACTCCCTCCAAAGATTTTCTATGGGGTTGAGATCTGGAGACTGGCTAGGCCACTCCAGGACCTTGAAATGCTTCTTACGAAGCCACTCCTTCATTGCCCGGGCGGTGTGTTTGGGATCATTGTCATGCTGAAAGACCCAGCCACATTTCATCTTAAATGCCCTTGCTGATGGAAGTAGGTTTTCACTCAAAATCTCACGATACATGGCCCCATTCATTCTTTCCTTTACACGGATCAGTCGTCCTGGTCCCTTTGCAGAAAAACAGCCCCAAAGCATGATGTTTCCACCCCCATGCTTCACATTAGGTATGGTGTTCTTTGGATGCAACTCAGCATTCTTTGTCCTCCAAACACGACGAGTTGAGTTTTTACCAAAAAGTTATATTTTGGTTTCATCTGACCATATGACATTCTCCCAATCCTCTTCTGGATCATCCAAAAGCACTCTAGCAAAGTTCAGACAGGCCTGGACATGTACTGGCTTAAGCAGGGGGACACGTCTTGCACTGCAGGATTTGAGTCCCTGGCGGCGTAGTGTGTTACTGATGGTAGGCTTTGTTACTTTGGTCCCAGCTCTCTGCAGGTCAT